GTATGAAGTATGGTGGTTCAAACCCACCAGCCACTCCTCAGAAGGAAGGTTGGGCAATCTACTTCCATAGTGATACCACCTCGGAAACCCAAGGAGGGGTCACCATGAGTTGGGTCCAACTCGACGGCACATAACAACAACAACAAATAAATGGAAGGGCATTCTGTGCTCATGGAACAGAAGACTTAATATTATTATGATATCAATATTACCTAAAGCTATCTATAGATGCAACCCAATCCCCATCAAAATTTCAAGTCTTCTTTATAGAAATGGAAATCATCAAATTTATATGGAACTGTAAGTGGACCCAAATAGCCAAAGCAAACTTGAGAAAGAAAAATAAAGTAGGAAGACTCATACTTCCTGATCTAAAAACATAATATAAAGCTACAGTACTCAAAACAGTCTGGTATTGGTACAATGACAGACATACAGACCGAAGGAACAGAATTGAGAGTCCAGAAATAAACCTGTATATCTGTGGTCAACTGATTTTCAGTAAACGTGCTAAATCCATCCAATGGGGAAAGAATAGTCTCTTGAAAAAATGGTTGGGACAACTGGATTTCCAAAAGCAAAAGAATGAAACGAGACCCCTGTCTCACACCATATAGAAAAATGAACTCTAAATGGCTCAAGGACCTATTTATGAGAACTAAAACCAGAAAACTTCAGGAATAAAACACAGGAGTAATGCTTGAGGACCTACTTTTAAATAATGGATTATTGGATATGGCACTGAAAGCGTAAGTAACAAAAGATACAACAGAGAAAATGGATTTCATCAAATTAAAAACTTTCATTCATCGATGGTCTTTATCAACAAACTGAAGAGAAAACCTGTAGACTCGGAGAAAACTTTGGAGAACTATATATATGATTAGGATTTAATATCCGGAATATATAAGAAACTCTTACAACTTAGCAAAGGAGCCCTGGTGGCCCAATGGTTAAAGTGCTTGGCTACCACCAGAAAGGTCATGGTTCAAAACCACCAGCAGCTCCACAGAAGCAAACACCCAGCAATCTGTTCCCATAAAGATGTATAGCCCAGAAAACCCTATGTATGACATAGTTCCACCTATCCTATATGGTCACTATGAGTCAGGACTGACAACACAAGTTAACAACAAAAAGACAACCCAATCAAAAAATGAGCATAGGACCTGAATAGACACTTTACCAAAGATGGCCAACAAACAAATGTTGTTGTTCAATATCAACAATGCTCAATATCAACAATCATCAGGGAAATACAAATCAAAAAGTCAAAACCACAATGAGATACCTACCACTTCACAGCCACTAAGATGGCTATGATTAAAAAAAAAAAAAAAAAAAACAGAAAATAACAGATATAGGTAAAAATGTGGAGAAACTGGAACCCTCATCCATTGCTCATGGGATTGTAAAATGGTACAGGCAATGTGGAATACAGTTTGAATAACTATTCAAAAAATTAAACAAAGAATTACCATGTTGTTATTGTTAGGTGCCACTGAGTTGGACCCAACTCATAGCGAGACCCCTCCTTGGGTTTCTGAGGCATTATCACTACGGAAGTGTACTGCTTTAACCTTCCTTCCGAGGAGTGGCTGGTGGGTTTGAACCACCAGCCTTCCGGTTAGCAGTCAGGTGCCTTAGGCACTATGCTACCAGAGCTCCTTGATCCAGCAACTCCACTCCTAGGTTTATACCCCCAGAGAATTAAAAGCAGGGATACAAATAGATACTTGTACACCACAGTGCTATTCACAATGGACAAAAGGTGGAAACAGCCTAGACATCCATCAACAGATGAATGGATAAATAAATCTGATCTATACAATGGGAGCGCTGGTGGCGTAGTACCTAAGGCATCTGACTGCTAACCAGAAGGCTGGAGGTTCAAACCCACCATTTCATTGTAGTCAGCAATTGAGAACTGAATAAGAATAAAGAAAAGCCTGGTAGCATAGTGCCTAAGGCACTTGACTGTTAACCAGAAGGCTGGCGGGAGGAAGACTGGGCAATCTGCTTCTGTAGAGATATCGCCTCAGAAACCCAAGGAGGGGTCACTATGAGTCGAGTCCAACTCAATGGCACATAACAACAACATGTTCGTTTATTCAGACACACACACGCGTTCATTCATTCTAATCTTCACATGGCTCTCTCCTGCCAGGTCCTATGCAGGATATTGGGAATACAGAGAGAGCTGGCCCATTCCTTTCCCCTAGAAGAGTCCTCTTATCCAGGCAAATAAAAAGTTTCTTTCAGTGTAGTCAGGATGGAGGGAGGGAAACACAAGGGACTGTGGGAGCTCAGGGGAGGGGTGCTAGCCTCAACTTGACTTCCCAAAGGCTAACACCTGCACTGTATTCCAAGACTGATTTTGAGTGACTCATGGGAAGAAGGAGGGAAAGAAATAGCAGGCAGAGCAAACAGCAGAGCAAAGACACAGAGGAGTGAGCCGTGATGGCACATTCAAGGACAAATAAGCAGTTCATAAGGCTGGGGCTGAGCTACAAGGCAAGGACACAGTGGGAAGCGAGCTAGCCCTGTTGAGGACCGTGGAGAACAACCATTCAAGGGCTGTAGGCAGGGCAACGCCAAGCTGAGATCTGTGTTTTGGGGGGGAGGGTAAGTGTGGAGGCTGTCGCAGTAACCCAGGCAAGAGAGGAGAGTGACCTGAAGCAGGATTTGGGGCATGATGAGAAAAGGGCCAAGTGCAGACCTATATATTAAATGGTAATGCCCAATGCTGGTGAAACCATGCTAAAACTGCCACCTTTGTATAATGCTGACACACACCCCATGAAGAAGGCAATACGGCACCTGTCCAGGCCCTAGAAGGAAATTTATCCTAAGAAAATTGTTTATCAGCAAGAAGCTGATTAACATAGATTTTTAAAAGCCCCAAATCAGAGACCACTTTAGTAATCAATAATAATAGAGTAATGGTTTGGTGACTGACAGTAATCTACAAACAATAATTAGGAAGCCAACATAAAAGCAAGCGAAAACACGTATGATGTGATATTGGACAAAAACAAAGAAAGGACACATAATAGCATAAAAATCACGTGAGCACTTTAAATTCATGCCTGTATGTAATTAACAAATGAAGAAACACATGCAAAGTTAAAAAATGATCATTTTTAGAATAATGAAGAATTCTTTTTTCACATTGTCACACCATCTTTTTGGTTTAATTTTTAAAATACTTATTACGGAGAAATAAATAATCCGATCACTACAGGTTCCGAAGCAGGCTCCCTGGGCGCTTTTCAAGCCCCGCGCCCCCATGGGAGGAGAACAGACCCAGCCAAAGTAAAGGTAAGTGCCCAAGCTTTCACACCATCCTCCCCACGAACCAACTACATTGCCACTCCTCGTCCCGCTGGACTCACACCCCCATCTGCAGGCACTGGGATGACTATCCCCGGACAACCACGGCTCTGCAAGGTTAAGTGCTGCTTCAGGAGGAGGTGGACTTGGGGCTTAGAAAATGGCTTCTAGCTCTGGCTCTGCGTCACTTTGGGCAAATCCCCTTCCTTCTCTGGGTCTCAGTTCCTTTGTCTACACAGCAAAGAGAATGGCCTGGAGGACTGCTCTGAGCCTGACCGTGAGCTGGCTTGTTCAAGGCTCTGTACTGTCCAGAGGGTGACCAGAAGCCCCGGCTTTCCGTTACTCTACAGTGTCTCAGGGCTAGACATTAAAACTTACAGGCAAAAAAAAACACTTTTCAAACCTACCGTGATGCTCCTTCCAGATCTGGAAAGACACTAAGAGCCTTAAGATTCTTTTTATAAAGGCAACAGGGAGCTAGAAAGGATTTTCAACAGTGAGTGACGTGAGCAGATCCAAAAGGATGGGAGGGAGCAAGACCAGAGACAACAAGGGCAGCTGGAAGCCCCGATTCCACTTCCTTGAGAACCAAGAAGCCCCAGATTTCACCAGTTTACTAAAGGTGACAGCTAATTAGCAGCTGGGTCCCCTGGCTCTTAGGGTATAGTGTGCCTGCTGTCAATGGAAACCCACCTCCGTGGGGCCAGCACATCATGCAGAAGCTCACATGTCACAAGCGGACACACAGAGTTGCATTTCTAAGAAGTGAAGGGGAGCCAGGGGTGGCACTGTGTGGGTCTAGCTGACAGGCCTCCTGGGGACAGACAGGGTTTGGACAGCGCCTGCGCCTCACCCTTCGCCAGCTGCTCCTCGAGCCTGCTCTGCAGGGTGCTGCTGGTTTCGATGCTCCTCTCCAGCTGCGCCCGCAGAGCCTGGATCTCTCTCAGGAGGCTGTGCAGGTCACTGAGTGGGTCTTGCCCCTTCCAGCCTTCTCCTGATGCCTCTGCTCTGGCTTCTGTGAACATGTACAAGGAAAACCTTTAACATCTCCCATGAGCCAAGAAAGGTCAGTCATCAAAGGAACTCAAAAGTGTTTCAAACCTGCCACCACCATCCTCCTCCCATTCCAGAGAACTAGGTACAATTTAAAATAACAACTAGAGTTTAGAAACAAAAATATTGGCACACTTAATTGCTGCTATTCCACAGGCTAAATAAGAGCTGGAAATTAATTTTCACTCCTGGCCATAAAAGCCTAGCAAATTGCACACCAAACCCCGAAATTATGTCTGGTAGTAATAAAATCTATTTACGCTGGAATTATAGAATGAAAGGGGCTGATTTTAAGAGCCACAGTATATTAAAAAGGCACAACATCAAGAACAAGAAAAGCAACTTGAGGAGAAAATGAAATCTGTGAGATGACCCTTTTCTGGATAAACTTTCAATAGGGAGAAACCGTCTGGAAAATTAGTTGAAAATAAACCTCACCACACCTCAACACTGATTCTGAAACATGAGAACTGAGAGTGCAGCCCCTCCGATCTGGTGTCTCTCTGAGGATGCAGAAAGAAAGGGAGCTAGCAACCACTTTCAGAGCACTGTCAGCATGTGGGAGATGTTCAACAAACATGCTCAATGAATGGGCTAAAGAAACCAATATTACCAATAAAAGTATAATAAAGGGCACGTCCTGATAGCCTCCTAGGGCCCAGGTGCTGCTACAGTATTTTTAATTTATCTCATTTACTTTTCACAACTCCACAGAACAATCTTGTTTTATAGAGGAGAGGTGAAGTGACCTGCTGAAGGTCACACAGTCAGGAAATGAGGGCATTCAAATCCAGACCCCAGCTTTCCGGATGCTTGAGTCTTTCCACATTTCCTGCCGTTTCTTCCGCTGCAAGACTAGGCCCAAAGGATCAGCTTCAAAATATACCTGCTGGACCCATAAGGCAAACTTGGGTGTGGTGAGGGCATTTCAGGCAAGTGCGGAGCTCCGTCTTCCCACTCCTGCTGCCGGCTGACCAGGTGGGCTCGCAGCCCCCGACACAGCAGCCCCAGGATGAGAAGGGGCTCCGACCAGAGTGAGCAGTACCTCTTGGTCGCCTGTGTTCCTCATCCAGCTTCTCGTACACCTTCAGCTCCACTCGAAGGGACTGGAGTAGCTTGTCGTTCTGTGAGAGCAGCTGCTGCTTCAACTCCACCTCCTTTTGTGCCCTGAAAAGGCCCCATCACCACGGGGAGAAGAGGTTAGCTCTGACTCGGGACGGCATGCTCAAACTCCCCACCCTCAGAGGTCACCAGTTCTACCTCAGCCAGAAGAGTGTTGCCAACAGTGACAAACGTGGATAGGAATTTGAGCCACAGCCACTATTTCCCAAGTGCCTCTCTGCACGGGAAGCAGCACTCACTTCCATCCCCAAGAGGCCCGTCAGCTAGACGCTCACAGTGCCACCCCGGCTCCCCTTCACTTCTGGGAAATGCAACTCTGTGTGTCCGCTTGTGACATGTGAGCTTCTGTATGATGCACTGGCCCCACGGAGGTGTGTTTCCATTGACAGCAGCCCTCTACATGTTATCTAATATAATCTTCACAGGCCCCCTAAAAGGTAGTGCTACCTAATCCTCAATTCACAGAGGATATGATATAGTGAGGCCCAAAAAGGTGTATTTCTTACCCAGGGCTGTATGGCTTGAAAGAGGACCCAGGACTTGAACCCAGGACTGATTGCAAAGATAATGATCTTACTAAATCACTGTGCCACTCTGAAGAGCCAAAAGTGAGGCCAGTAACAGTAAAAAAAAAAAAAAAGTGAGGTATTCCTGAGTGCTGACCAGAATAACTAAAAACACCAGCACAAGACAGATTCCAAGGGAAAACTGCAAGAGAACCACCAGCATGATCCTCTCCAGCCTAAGCCAGTCCACCCCTCCTCTGCTGACAAACTCCCAGCGGCTTCCTCTCTCACTCAGAATAACAAGCAAAGTCCTGACAGAGGCTTCAAGGTTCCATGTGATTCAGCATCCAGCCCCTCTCGCCTCATCCCCTCACATGCGCCTACCTCCTCCACAGGCAATGGCCTCCCTGCTCTGCCTACAGAGGCCAAGGACACTTTGCCTGGGGGCCACTGCCCCTTCTGCTGAAAATGATCTTTCCCCGGATATCTGCAGAGCTCACTCCCTCACTGATCTCAGGTCTCTGCTCAAATGGCATCTTTTCAGAAAGGTCTTCCCTCACCTGCCCTAGATAAAAAAAAAAAAAAAGGAAGTTGCCGCTCAGGCCCTATCTTCCTTACTTACATTATTTATCTCCATCTAGTTGATCGGGAGCTCTGTAGCGTAGTGCCTAAGGCACTTGACTGCTAACCAGAAGGCTGGCAGTTCAAACCCACCAGCCACTCCTCGGAAGGAAGGTGGGGCAATCTACTTCCATAGTCATACTGCCTCGGAAATCCAAGGAGGGGTCACTATGAGTCGGGTCCGACTTGATGGCACATAACAACCACCACCACCTAGTTTATCACTGTGGAGCTCTGGTGGCATAGTGCCTAAGGCATTTGACTGCTAACTAGAAGGCTAGCAATTCAAACCAACCAGACACTCCTTGGAAGGAAGATTGGGCAATCTACTTCCATAGTGATGCCGTCTTGGAAACCCAAGGAGGGGTTGCTATGAGTTGGGACTGACTCAATGGCAGTGAGTTTTGTTTTGTTTGATTTAGTTTCTCACCAAAGGCACCATCGTGGTACAATGTTTAAGCCCAGTGCTAACTGAAAGGTCGCCAGTTCAAATCCACCAGCAGCTCAGTGGGAGAAAGATGAGGTAGTCGGCTTCCATGAAGATTTACAACCTTGGAAACCCTATGGGGCAGTTCTACTCTGTCACTGTGAGTTAGAATTGTATCGATGGCATCACTGAAAGTATTCTGTGTGTGTTTGTTGTCTGTTCCTTTGCACTAGGGCAGGGGTAAGTGAGTTGTGTTTCATGATGGCAGCCTCAGTGGCTGGATGAGTGAGCTGGCCAGAACGGCACGGTGAGTCAGGATGGCCACCTGCTCAGCTCACTGCGGCCACTGCGGACCTCCTGGACCAGCTGCTGGTTGCATCTCTCCTTCTCACTGATTGCCTTCTGTAGCTTCTCATTGTCTCCCTTCACACAGGCATATTCCCGCTGAAGGTGTTCGAGGGCTGCCGTCTTTCTGGAAATGGACTCTTGTAATTTTTCATTCTCCTTCTGTTTATCTGTAAACACACACAAAAAACACACACTGAGAAGGGAAACCATTTGTTTTTTCCAACCAAATATAGCACTTCAGTTCGAGCACGCCAAGAATACAAAAAAGAATGAGATTTAATCTGACATTTATGATTTTGGCATTCCAATTATCTTATGCATTTTGGTCAAATAAATCTGTCAACATCAAGGCTGCAGATTAAACGTCACTTGGATGAAATGGGCCAGTTTAATTTTCTGTTAAATAACAGGTGGTGCCAACCTAGTTACTTTGCCTTCACGGAGCAAAGAGTGGGTGGAAACTACAGGCAGAGGCAAGGAACAGGGCCCAAAACTCGGGCAGTGCGTGTTGGCAGCCTGCAAGCCTCACCCAAGGACACCAGCAGGACTGTGCAAATGACAGTCTGGAGCCCTGTGCCCACTTCTAACCCTAGGTGTTTGTCTGCTCTCTTCCTTCTATTTAAAAGGCCCTGGCTCCTCTAAAAGGAGTTCTAGTGGCACAGTGGTTCAAGCATTCAGCCACTAATCAAAAGGTAGGTGTTTCAAACCCACCAGCCCCTCCATGGGGCTGTCTGCTTCCATAAATATTTATAGCCTTGAAAACCCAATGAGTCGGTTCTACTCTGCCATACTGAGTCGCTACGAGTCAGAAACAACGCAATGGCAATGGATTTGGTTTTTGGTTTTGGCTCCCCTAAATCTTAGGCACCCGCCTAAACCCTACTCATCCTTCAAGATTCCTTCAAGATGACCTTTCTTTGGTCAAGATGTCCTCTCCAGAGCCCTGCAGCTCCCCAAGCTTGCCTTTTTGGGGGGCTAACCAATACACTGCCCTGCCCTGTGGAAGGAGCCAGGTCTCACTTCTCTATCAAAGTCTATATGGGATCTGACATAGAACAAGAGCCAGGAAATGTTTGCTGAGTGAGTGAATAATTTGCCAAAGCCCCAATTCCATCTCTAAAGCCAAAATCAGTATCAATATTCTCCAGGGAAGGTGGGATAAGCTGACCCAAGTTCCAGTTCTGTCACCTTCTAGATCTCTGACCACAGGTCAGTAAACTCCCTAGACTTCAGTTTCTTACCTGTAAAATAGGGCTAATAATACCTTGTCCTAGAAATGCTTTTAAGAATTGAGAGCTCATGTAAATGAAAGCTCTTTGAAGGTTTCTAAGCTCTAAATAGAAGGAATTACAGGAAGGGATATTTACAATAAATACCGGATAAACTTTGCTGATGGTACGACATTTCCGGTTGAAACTTTGGCAATAACGTATCTCCTGCCCCCTCTTCCACCCCCACTGCATAGATGGGATGAGTGACAACTAAAGAAAGCAATTGTTTACCGAGCCCCCATTATGCCTCAGTCACCACGGTTAGTGTTTCACATCACTTAATTGTCACAACAACCCTGTGCAGTACGCCTAGTCTACAGACAAGGAAACTGAGGCTCAGAGAGGTTAAATGGCCTCTCCAGAGTCACAGGATCTGAACACTGGTCAGTTAGCCACCGATGCCCGCACTCTCCCCACTGTGCCCCCCCACGCGCTCTGGGGCTCCAGGCCGCAGGTGGCCCCTGTATTCTTACCTTTGGACCCTTTAGCGAGCATCACGTTGAGGGCCTCATTCTGCTTTCTCAGGAAATTAATTTCTGATGTCAGAGAATTGTGCAGCTCTGAACCATAAGCAAAAATGTTTGCAGGACCCATAAAAACAAATATAAATAGTGATTTATGGGCAGTCTCCAGATCACCGTGGGTGGAACTTTCTAGATAAAAGCAGCTTTAAACAATGAGGAAACACGGCATGAGATGAAGGTTACTCCTATGAACCAAGGTGGACCCCAGACCCAAAGGGATATGAGTGAGCTTAAACAGGAGGCAAGAGGTGAGCCCCCAACCCTTGCCTGTCCTAACAGTGAGCAAAGCAGGAGACCTGGGAGAGGGAGAGAGTGACAGTTTAACCTCCACATATGTCTCCCCTAAGGTTTAAACTCATATATCCAGCCACCTGCTGAACCTCTTCACCAAGGCAGCGCAAGGTCCACAGAACCACGACCTAACTCTTCACCTTTCCCTCGCCCTTCTAAACTGGCTCTCTCTTCTGCTTCCCGCCTCAGTAGGTGGTATCATCACTATCCCGAATCCAAGCTAGAAAACTGGGAGCTATCTTCTATCTCTCCCTTATTCCTCAAACCCACTCAGGCAACCATGACTGTTACCTCCTCCTCCAATATGCCTCACACACCAGTCCGTCCAGTCTTTTCTGTTCCTACACTTCAAGCTTTATCACCTTGCTTTAATCTTGCCTCCTTGCTACACTCTCAATGGAGTTAGCATCCTAACACGCAGTGCTTTCACTTTATTCTCTGCTCAGAAATGTCTGACAGCCCGCCACTGCAAAGACAACCAATCGGGCGAAACACAAAGTCCAAACTTCTCAGCCTAGAATCTAAGGATCTCCACTATTTAGCTCCACTCCAGGCCTTAAATTAAAAACCAAACTCACTGCCATCAAGTCGACTCCAACTCATAGCAACCCCCTTTGGGTTTCCAAGGTGGTAAATCTTTATGGAAGTAGATTGCCCAGTCTTCCTTCCACAGAGTGGCTGGTGGGTTTGAACCGCCAACCATATGGTTAGCAGTCAAATGCCCTAGGCACTACACCACCAGAGCTCCCCACTCCAGAGCTTAGTGTCTTCCGATACAGGCAAGCTGGGCCACTACTGCCCCAAACACACCACCTTGTAACACACCTCCCTGACTCGCCAGAATGACATACTACTCCCTTTACCCAGACTGCCCACCACCCTTTCAGCCACCTTGAAAATCACACTTACCTTCCAACTCTTGGCTCAAGTTCACTGCCTCTGAGTGTATACTTAAAGGATCAGGGTCTAAAGCTAGACACACCGGGTCTGAGGTCACTTACAAACTCTGACGGGTTTCCACATCTATAAATATTTCACCATGCTGATCTTTATGTATTGATCCTACCCCTTCTTCTAAACCCAGCCTAGCTGACCCCTCCGACACCGCACCTCAGCGTTCTGTCTTCTGTGCCTTCTACGCCTGCACCTATACGCTGCGCATATTCACAGCCACCCTCTGGACAGCACCGCCTGTGTGCCAGGCACTTGGCACAGAAGGCAGGTACTTTCCTTCCCATATTCCTCTGACTGAATGTACTAGACCACAGTGCTCAAATTCCAGAGACCTGCTTTCCCAGGCTTCCTTGTAGCTAGAACATGGTCATGTGCCAGATCTAGCCAGTAAGACCTGACGGATAGTCTGCAGATTTTCAGGAAAGATTTTGCACCTGATGAAAAGACGAAGACAGGAAAAGCCCCACTCTCTCCCTTCCCATGCTTTGGACACTGTCTTGAGAAGGTGTGATGCTTGTAATTACTAGTGTCATCATAGCTACTAACACAAGCCTCTGATATCAGGAAGCCACTAAACGTGCCTCAGAACTACCTGCCTCTGGATTTTTTGCTATATAAGAGAATGTAAACCCATTGTTTACAGCCATTTTTACTTCTGCTATCTGCTATCTATTCTGACTATCTGCAGCTGAAAGCATCCTGGTACATAACCCATAACCTGTGATGTTCCAACTCCCTATAAGGAACCTACAACATCAGGCCTCCCCGAAGCCAAGGTCACACTCTTTCTACCCTACAGCACTCCCTCTTCCTCACGCTAATGATTCACACATGCCTGTCATCTTCCTCCACTCTCCTCTAGGAATTCTCAAGGTTCTTCAGAGACACCAGTGTTTGAACCATGGCTCTACCTTCTTTTCTTAAAATAGTATTTTAATGAGTATTTGATGAAAGTTACACAGTAAGTTAGGTTCCCATTTGACAATTTCCACACAAATTATTCAGTGACATTAGTAACATTTATCACAGTGTGTAAACACGGTCTTTAACTCTGTTCTGTTTGTTTCCTTCCCAGTATTCCAGAACCCTTGTTCCTTTATCTTCTCACCTTTGCTCTGAATAATTGTTGACCTCTTGGTCTCATACTGATGGTATTTAAATAGGACACTGATCTTACGGTTAATGTCCTTTCTTCTGTGTGTCACTCTGTAATGTCACTAAAAGGTACTCGCAGGGGATAAACTTGGTTCTAGGTTTAAAGAGTGTCTCCGGCTATAGTCTCAGGGAGTCCTCTGATCTCTACTGTCCCAGTGTGTCTGGCTCCACCACCCCCAGCTCCCACCCCGCACAGGAATTTGAGTTCTGCTCCCCATTCTTCTCCCTCTCTATCCAGGACCAACTACTGGGACCCTCCCTACTCAGAACAGCCAGTGATTGCAGGAGAACACTATCTAGCTCTTCTGGTCTCAGAGTAGATATGGTGGGCTCATGTAGACTTGTTTCTCCTCTGAGCTTTTGGTTATGTTCTTACAGTTCTGCTGCTGGTGATTGACACCTGTAATTGTGTCTTAAATGATCGCTCATAAGCTTTTAAGACTCCAGATGCTACTCACTTCACTAGGATGAAGACTATGATTTTTGTGAATTATGTTATGCCAACTGACTGAGCTGTTCTATGAGATTGTGGTCCTAAGCCTTCAAACCCAGAAGATCAATGTTGGAAGGTATTTGGTTCTGTCTGAGGAGTCTGTATTTGTATCTTCAACAACTATATATGCTTGCAACCACATATTTGTATTTACAGGTACCTAACAGATACTTCTGGGAGCTCTGGTGGCACAGTAGTTAAAAGCTTTTGGCCACTAACCAAAAGGTAGGTGGCTCAACCTACCAGCTGCTCCATAGGAGAAAGATGACAGTCTGCTTCTGTAAGATTTACAGCCTTGAAAACCCTATGGGGCAGTTCTACTTTGTCCCACAGGGTTGTTATGAGTTGAAATTGACACGATGGCCATGGGTTTGGTTTGGATTTCTTTATATACTTCCATCTGTTCTCACCTATGTACACTCGTTTACTTCTCCATTTACCAATTTGCCTATACCATCCCTATGTGCTTAAACATTCATTTTTACTTTGGCTGAACTGTGCTCACTATATCCACATTCAGTGCCACTTTTTCCATCACCAAAAGTAATTAGTCTCTCTGGTATAAAGCTTACTTTGCCCATCCCACCCCCCTCTCCTCTCTGGTAACCACCAATGAACATTGGTCTCTCTATTTATCTATTCTTCTTATAAAAGAGGGATCATACAATATTTGTCCTTATATCCATGACTTATTTCATCAGTATCATGCCCTCCAGGTCTATCTATGTTATGTGTTTTCTGGACTTATCGGTATTCTTTATGGTTGTATAGTATTCCATCATTCATATGTACCACAATTTGCTAATTCAGTTGTTTCCATTTATTTGCTATTGTGAATGAAGCAGCAATGAACTGTGCATATGTTAGTTCATGTCATTATTTTTAGGTCTCCAGCCACTCCTCGAAAGAAGGTTGGGCAATCTACTTCCATAGTGATGCTGCCTCGGAAACCCAAGGAGGAGTCACTATGAGCTGAATCAACTTGACATCAGTGAGTTTGTTTTTTGGTGGGTTTTAGGGTATACAGTGAAGAAGCTCTGGTGGCATAGTGGGTAAAGCATTCAGCTGCTAACCAAAAAGGTCAGTGGTTCAAACCCAATAGCTGCTGTGTGGAAGAAAGATGAGGTAGTCTGCTTCTGTAAAGCTTTACAGCCCTGGAAACTCTATAGGGCAGTACTCTATCCTATAGAGTCACGATGAGTTGCAATCAACTCGATAGCAGAGGTTTTGATTTGGTTTAGGGTATATACTTAGGAGTGGGATTGCTGGATCTCATGGTAGTTCTATTTCTAGTTTTTTGAGGAAGTGTCATACCATTTTCCATACTGGGTGCACCATTTTACAGTCTAACCAGCAATGGATAAGGGTTCTAATCTCCCCACATCCTCATTAACATTTGTTGCTATCTGTTTTTTCAATCAGGGCCATTTTAGTGGTGGTAAGGTGGTATCTCATAGTTTTGATTTGTACCTTTGTAATGGCCAATGATCGTGAAAATCTTTCATATATTTGTTGGCTGCTTGGATGTCCTTGGATGTCTTTGCCCATTTTGTGATTGGATTTTTTTGTCTTCTTATTGTTGAGCTGTTGTAGTTTTTTAAATAGACGTTAGAGATTAGACCCTTATTGGATAAGTCATTTCCAAAGATTGTTCTCCCAATCTGTAGTTGGTCTGTTTATTCTTTTAATGAAATCTTTTGATGAGCTATGCTTTTAATTTTTATGAGATTTGTTTATTTATTTCATCTTCTTCTATTTGTGCATTTATTGTAATGTCTGTTATCCTATTTTTACAAAAGATTAGGTTCTACAGTTTTCTTCCTATATTGTCTTCCAGGAATGTTATGGTTTTCGGTTTCACATTTAGGTCTCTAATCCATTTTGAGTGAGTTTTTGTGTATGGAGTGAGGTATGGGTCTTGTTTCATTCTTCAAAAAGTAGATATCAAGTTTTGCCAGCACCATTTATTAAAGAGACTATTTCTGCCCTACGGAATGGACTTTAACCCTCTGTCCCAAATCAGGTGTCCACAGGTGTTTAATTCTGAGTTCTCAATTCTATTCTACTGGTCTATGTGTCTATTGCTGAACCAATAGCAGGCTGTTGTGATCACAGTGACTGCATAGTATGTTTTGATACTGGGGAGTGTCAGGGCTCCTGCTGTATTCTTTCACTTCAA